GATCCAGGGGTCTCCGGGGGATCCCGGTGGATCCAGGCGGATCCAAGGTGTTCTGGGGGGCTCAGGTGGATCCAGGGGGCTCTGGGTAGATCAAGGGGGATCCAGGGGCCTCCGGGAGATCCCGGCGGCTCCGGGGGCTCCAGCAGCATTCCCAGTATTCCCAGTATTCCCGGCATTCCCTCACCGGCAGCGGGGACACGTGTAGAAGACGCTCTGGCCCTCGTCGGCCGAGCGCGTCTGCCGCGTGCGGAACGCCATGGAGCCGTGGGAGCAGCGGGGGCAGCGCCGCTCCACCTGCGGAATTCCCATTCCAGGGGGTTATTCCCATTCCAGGGGGTTATTCCCATTCCGTAGCGGGGTATTCCCACCCCGTAAGGGGTTATTCCCATCCCAAAGGCTGTTATTCCCAACCCATAGGGGGTTATTCCCATTCCAGGGGGTTATTCCCATTCCATGGGGTTATTCCCATTCCATAGCAGGGTATTCCCATCCTGTAGGGGGTTATTCCCATCCCAAAGGCTGTTATTCCCAACCCATAGGGGGTTATTCCCATTCCACGGGGTTATTCCCAACCCATAGGGGGTTATTCCCATCCCAGGGGGTTATTCCCATTCAATAGAGGGTCATTCCCACCCCGTAAGGGGTTATTCCCATCCCAAAGGCTGTTATTCCCAACCCATGGGGGGTTATTCCCATTCCACTGGGTTATTCTCATTCAATAGAGGATCATTCCCACTCCGTAAGGGGTTATTCCCATCCCAAAGGCTGTTATTCCCACTCGGGGGCGGTTATTCCCAACCCATAGGGGGATATTCCCATCCAATAAGGAGTTATTCCTATTCCAGGGTCGGAATTAGAGCATCCCCAGGGGGATTATTCCCATCCAGGGAAGAGTTATTCCCATCCCATAGGGAGTTATTCCCATCCCATAGGGAGTTATTCCTGTCATTCCCATTCCAAGGGGGGATATTCTTGTCCCATGGGGGCTTATTTCCCCCCATCCCAGCAGGATTCCCAACCCA